AGGAGTCCTCTCTGATGTTCTATTGTAGTGGAAAGTACATTTGATAAAATTCTGTGAGACTTTAAGTCTCTGATTCCCTCATCTGAAAGATTCAGGGGCCAGACAACAGAGAGCATGTTATTCCAAACATGGGTGAGGACAGAGGATTCCTTCACAGCTCCAACAGTCAAAGTATCTGTGGTCAGAATCAGCCAGGGCACTGCTAACAGCAGAATCTTCTGACCCATCATCTATTGGCAAACTGACAGCTCTTAACTCCACATGACTCTTGGTCCAGAGCATCCTAGGCTTGAAGAGGCTGATGGCTTTGCAAAGAAGTAAGCTAGAAGAATCAAGGAGGGAGGACAGAGACAAAGGGGTTGTTGAGCCAGAAACAAGAGAGAGGAGTTATAGGGCCTCTTAAGACCCACTCCCTATAGGTACTTCACTCTGAGCTGAAAAGGTTGTCTCTTGGAGAATCTAGAAAATAGAAGTAGTAGAAGAAAAATACAGTATACAATCAGTATGTTCATCAGAGCCATGAATAAACATGTTTCACTGAAGCATCTCAAAACCCTAGTGGTACAAGAGGTTTCAATATAGATGGTGAAAAGTTCTAAAATACCCGCTAAGTAGATCTTCTATAAAATGTCCCTACCATGTTCATGTCTGTTCTATATAATCATCTTTTGAGACCTCTAATGTTGGATGTATTTTAGACTATAAAATTAGTCAAGTTCTCTTGGGCTTTCACATAAAAGGAATTAATCCTCATCAAATGATGGCATATTGGGAATGACTGGAATCAAGACATCAAGTCCAGGTCTTGCATTCAAGGGCTAGTGACCTTGGGTAAGGCTCTTAATTACATTACTCCTGTTTTTCCACCTGACAAAACGGAGTTGATCACCTTCCTTTCTCTTTCTCTTCCAGGAAAGATAAATAAAAATGAGAATCTGTATAAGCAAATGTTCTGTGCTCCTTGGAGCAAAAGAACAGTGAAAACCTGAAGGGGTTGTATGTTCCCAGGGTAGGACAACTGGACTCCTGGTTGATTCCAAGGACACAGGATATGTCAGTCTATGACCCAGCTTCTCCACGAATGACAGGGGTCAGTGACATATACTCACCCCTATCTCAAAACTGTCCTACCAGTAGCTGGAATTCTAAATAATGTGTTAGATTAAAGTTGTCCTAGATCATGCCCTGCAAATTAGACATTTCCTTTAATCTGGCTTATTTTAAGAACTTTCCAAATTTTCTCTGAATGCTGATCATATATTCTTTGGTTTCAAAAGCTCCCTGAGACCTACTCCAAGATTTGAACATGCTTTGTAATAATCATTTTAAAGCCCTCCAAATCCTAGAGTCAGCATATCTGACTGAGGATCTCCCCAGAATGGAATGAAAAATGCTGTGATCCCCACAGGAAGTAGGAAACACCGCCCTACCACCGTTTGAAATGTCTCACATATAGTTGACCATTCCCATACTTCCTCCCCTCCTACACGGTCCATTCTTATCACCTCCTATTCTGGTCAGGGTTCCAGGAAAGCTCCTTTCTGTTTCCCTTTGGGGCACAGATCAAGGGTACTACTTTCCCCAGAAGTAGCTGCATTTTTAATTTCTTTTTTTTTACTATCATAGGTGCCAAAAGGAGTATCTCTAAAGTAGAAACTTGGCAGGATGAGAAAGAATTTAGGGTCTTCCCTACGACATGGAGATGTTACCTACTCAAAAGTCTGGCCTTAAAAGGGTGTCATTCCACCTTGGAAGGAAATGTGGGTGTTTGCTGATTGATTCACCTCTGTGTCTTCAATAATATGAGCTCAGTATCAAAGAAGCCTGAAAAGTTTGAAGAAAGAGGAAGGTATGTAGCATAGTAGGAGCAAACATAGTCCCTGTGAAAAATGACTCAAAGTGACTAGAGATTCTGAGAAGTTCTTCAGAGATTTCAACGCAAGACATGTTCATGGTGTCCTGTTGGTGTTTATGCACAGCTTACCTGAAGCATACCCAGGAAGAGGCAGAGCAGCTGTTTTCAAATACCACAAGGCTTCTCAAGCAGAAGAGGGAAGGGGGCTCAGGGAGGGAAAGGGAGCTAGGATTTAATGAGCACTTTATATGTCAGGAACTTTACATGTAACACATATTTAATTCTCACAAAAACACTATGAAGTGTTAGCTCATCTTGAGGAAAGTGAGACTCACAGAGGAAGTTAAAGTCATTGCCTTGAGCCTCACAAGGCAGTCAAGTGATACAGCAGGAAGCAGGTGGGCAGTGTCAGTTCTCCTGGGGGTCTCTGAGCTGATGCAGCGTCTGCAGCTGGACATCCCCAGGCCCCAAATGCAGGTGTAGGGGGCTCAGCAGTCTCCTGTCCTCTGTGTTTGCCTTACACCTGTTCACCCACACTGAGCAGTCTTTTCTGCTTCAGAGAAAGTAAAGACATAGGCTTCAGGGCATAAGTCAAGTCTGATTCCTCAGCACGCCCCCCAGTTAAACTGGCATGCCAATAAGCAAAGAGCTGCGAACGCAGGGCTCCAATCTATGGCAATGTTAAAGCACAGGGGGCCCAATTTAACCATACAGGACATTCCCCCAAAGGAGTCCAGCAATGGATGAAAACTGGTAGGGAGAGCATAGGAGTTAGAATTAGAAAGAATCCTAGTTCAATGCTTTCCTGGTTTGGGCCAGCTACTTCATTTCTTTGAACCCTCAATTTCTCCAACTGTTTATGGGTGATAATAAAGCCTTCCTAATGGCAACTAGCATAGGGATTAAACAAATGTTAGGGACTTAGCACATGCTCCTTATCTATGCAGCTCAAAGCTTTGAATCCTTTACTCTGTGATAGGAAAGATGCATTGCAAACTTTATCCTAATACTAGCAAAGGTGAAAGGCCTAGCTATCCCAATGTCTAAATGGTCAAATCAGAGCTCTTCTTTGGCTTACGATTTGATTATTTTTGGTTTTAGTGTAGTTTAAAAATAATTTTTCATGAACCTTTTCTTCCCTTAGTGCTACCAGTAGGCCTTATCAGTCATTCACGCTATAGTGTGAATGAGTTTGAGATGATTCCTTTAAGAGCAGCTTTGGAAGGCAGAGAATGGTACCAGATGGCCAAAGTCAAGGGAAAAATCAGTCATACAAGTTTAAAAAACAGGTTAGTCCTGCATATACTCAGCTGTCTTTCTAACGTTCTCCTTCCCCCGTCTAAGCTTTCTACTAGAAAAAGCAAGGCAAAATGTACATTTCCTAACAAAGCAATGACTTTCTATAACCTTTGAGCAAAACCATGTAAATTTATTGGTGGAAAAAATACTGTGTTTGTGCAGAAACTTCTTGTTTACACAGCCCCATAAGCCTCAACAAAATTGAAGATTATAATCACAATTACAGATTTCATCAAGGTTCACTTTAGAAAATAAAAGTACAGTATAAATTAATTATTTCAGGAAATGCGTGGCTTTACTTCAAAGACACAAAGTTTAATTTTTTGACATGCAGTATGAAGATATTATTTCTTTAGCCCCACATTGAATTTCGGGGAAGACCTGCTACCAGCTGCATGAACAGACAACAACTTTCCCCCTCTCAACTCAGAAAGCATGTGGGTGTGAAACAGGTTCTCCTTAAGAAATAAAGAGGGTTTCCAATGTTTCAGTTGCAAAAAAAAGGATGTTTAGTTCACTTCCTTCTCTTTGTTTTCTGCAGAGCACTAAGAATTGTAACTGAATTTGCTTCACTTTTCCGTACTACAAGTCACCATGAGGCTGAAATCAGTCTGTGGTGACAATTGCTCTCCTCTTTGGGGACAGTCTGTCAAGTAACATGACATAAGGGTCTCAGTCCTGTCTATAAGTCCCTGAAAATACCTGAGTGAATTAGATAAGAAGAATCACTCAGAGGCCAGAACATTTTTTGACTCTATCTTCATGTTACACTAGTTCAATGTTTTGAATTTACATTCGTTTCTCAACCTTGGCTTCACTGACAAATTCTAAACGTATTCTTCTAAATGAGTCCGTATTTATTCTATGCAAAGAATTTTTCATGTGTAAAGTTTATGGATGATTCTCTGTAACCTTAAGAAAAATGAATTTACAACTGAAGTAGGAAATCTTTGAGCATATTTTTTTAATATAGAAAAAAAGTCGAAATCAATAGTTGCCACATGACAATAATTTTCTATTCACAAATGGGATAGCTATAGCTATTCATAAAAGGTCTGGCTCCATTCCTTTTGTGAATGCTAGAATGTACTCAGGCCTGTGCCACTTAAGCAAACTTTCCAGTCTTTTTTTGTTTGTTTGTTTTTGTTTTGTTTTTCAGTCTTTTGTTAATAGCTGAGTAAATCTCTGGACAAATGCTCGAGAGGTTCTTAGAATCAGTCCCTCATTTATAGCTAGAAGGTTCTTGTAATTATCTAATTAAAGATCTTTAGAGATTACCTTGAGTGAAAGAGAGGAAAAAAAATAATGCAATACCAAAGCTGGGCTATTGCATATTACATTACTTCCATGTAAGGGCAATCTCTAATTTGTTAAAAGTCAATGGATCTGACGACATAGTCTTTGCCAAGCACTTGTCATATTAACCTGTTTCTTGTCATCCACGTTTATTGACTGGTGATGTTTGCTGCAGGTGACAGAGTTGCCCCAGTGCTTGGGGGAATCAAGCAAGGTACAATCAATTCATCAAAACTATTCCTAACCACTGATTTCTAAATCTTAAAGCCATTTTACAGTCTGAGTAAAAAAAAATACCTGAAATGAGGCAAGCTCTTCATGTCACTCCCCCTCTGTCCCCATCAGCTTTTGTGGATAAAGGCATTGAGTAAATGAAAACTTAATATTACGGCCACCAAATAGCCAAAAAGCCTCTAGTGACTTGCTGCTTCCTGAAAGAGATGAATCTGATAGCTAACTCACACTGAACCAAAACAAAACTCTCTACGACCAGCTTGGCAACTAGGGAGGCATTGTTGGGCCTGAATTTAGGAAATTAGGAAATACTTACGATCATGATGAATGTGCCCAAGAACTCGGCAAGTATTTCTTTCATTAAGCTGCTCTTTAAGGCCAGTCTCTGCTTGAAGCTTTTCCCCTTCTCTCCCTTCTCCGGCTGCATCTTGGGGCTGCTTGGAGGACTACTGTTTCCACTAGCACCTGCCTGTTCTGGTCCCCACCTTCACACGGACATGAAAATGGAAGTTTTGACAACTGCTCACGGGATTCCTGGAGATGTCTGGTGAGATTCTTGGACTGTATAAGTGCTGTCCCAATTATAGGCTGTGACTTAATCCTCTTCTGGTGGAACTATCATTCTCTGTCCGCTGATATTTGTTGGAATTCTCAAGTTAGAACCTGAAATCCCCAAAACGAGCCTTTTTGTGCCTGATAGATTAATCATTACCTTTATTCTCAAGGTATTTTTTTCTCTGTTTTTTTTTTTCTTTCCCCCTGAGAGATGAGAAAAGAGATGTGCTGGTGGTGTTGCCAAACCACAGTGATGGGCCCTGGTCCAAAAGAGATTTACATGTTACACAATTGCAGGCCTCTGATTTTTTTTGTTTTCCCCATTCGGAAGTGGGTGGTTGGGGTGTAGTTTGCAATTGTCAAATCAGGTATAGATACCCCCAGTGTAAACATTCTTTTCTGAAGAAAGCTTTTATGCAAACTAGAGAGTTTGAAGAAAATATAGATTTATTGTCCTACAAGGTTAATCAGTCTTGTTTTCTTCCAGTATCAGTTCAGTGCCTTCGTGACACCATTCTGAGATTGCTAAGAACCACTGTGCCCATCCTAGAGATGGGAGAAAGTAACATACAGAGAGACCATTGCAGGCTTCACACTGCAAGTCTAGAGGACAGCATGGGGGAGGGGGTCACTTTCTCATTACTGAAACTGGACTTCGTCTGCTGAGGATAGTTGAGATCCAAAAATTGGATAGATCGAGGAGTCAACTTCTTGCATTTCTTTTGAAGAGGACTCCAGTTTAAAAACAAGTTACTTCTCATTATTAACCATGAGACATTTAGAGAAAATACATTGAAAATAAACGACAGCAGCTTGAAAGTCGGTGCTTTACGGGGATAACTGAGCTAGGAAGAGATCAATCTGAGTACACATGATTCCAAATGAACAAGGAAGGGGATCAATACACCTAACCAAGGGTCCTAGGTCATTGCATTTAAATTTGATGAACTAACATGCTTGCATGCAGCAAACTGTGTTTGGGATTAGCTTCTTGTTCTGCCAAATATTCAAGCCTTGTTTTTCAAAACTGGTTTGCCTAAAGAAATAGATTACAGCATTAGCTTCTGAACACCAAGGCAGTCCCATGGAATTAGTACCCACGTGGTTTTCTTCCTCCCAACCCTCCCACAGCGAAGCCAGATCTGTTTCAGGCCCTCCCCTTCCTTTGCAGGAGACTCTCAGTCATTTCCAGCTGGGGAGACAGGTGGGAAAGGAGGGCGGAGAGGACGTGGAGAAAACAGCTGGTAAGAGTCCAAGGGCAGAAGGTGACATTTAATCTGTAGATGAAATTTATAATTTAGATCTAAAGAAGTTATAACTTGCCCACATCATTGCAGAACCAGGACAAAACCCCAGAAATTTGGCTTTAACTCTTGGTTAAATTATCAGGGATACCATTGTCTGGAAGGGTTAGCTAATGACTACACTACTCCCAAGTACCAGTGGATGGACCAGAGAAACAGGACTTTATTAATGTGACTACAACTAATAACAACACACAGGAGTGTATTCTCTGGTCTCTTCATTTGCTCATCTAACAACTATTTATTGCATACTTATTATGTGCCAAACACCACACTTAGCAAAAGCACACAGAGTTCTTGCCCTTCTCAGAGCCTGGAGCCGAGTGAGGGAGATAGACCTAAGTGAAATAATCTCCCAGTTGTAAAAATTAAATCACAACTGAAATGTATACTATAAAGATGGGGGCCAGGCCTGGCGTGTTGGCTCATGCCTGTAATCCTAGCACTCTGGAAGGCTGGACCAAGAGGATCCCTTGAGCTCAGTAGTTAAAGACCAGCCTGAGCAGGAGAGAGACCTTGCCTCTACTAAAATATAGAAAAAAAATTAGTTGGGTATTGTGGTGGGAGCCTGCAGTCCCAGCTCCTTGGGAGGCTGAGGCAGGAGGATTGCTTGAACCCAGTTTAAGGTTGTCAGGAGTGAGGCTATTGCCATGGCACTCTAGGCTGAGCAACAGAATGAGGCTTTATCTCAAGCAAATTAACAAACAAACAAAAGATGGGGCTACAGGTCTATGAGCAAATATGCAAAGGGATTTCACCTTGTCAGAAAGCTAGCCAATAGCTTCTCCAAGAACATCATGTCTGAGCTGAGATGAGATGGAAGTATAAGGGTTAACTGCATGAGGTGGGGAAGGATGTATGTGTGCAAAGGCCTTAGTGGAGGCTGGGGGGTGGGAGAGGGGAGCAGCACAGAATGATGCATATCAAGGAATGAGAGAAACCCACTGTGATTAGCTTTCAGAGAGAGTGAAGGAACACAGCACACAAGATGAGCCCAGAGCCATGGGCAGGGGTCAGACCCTACTAAGCCTTGTGTTTAGGGCTAAAGGCATAATAAGTCATAGAGGTGGTTTAAGCAGTAATATGACATTATCTGATTTGAGCTTTGGAAAGATTATCTTAGCTGTGTTGTGGAGAGGAGATGGGAGGGAATCTGGAACAGGCATAGGTAGACTCATTCTAGGACTATACAGAAGGTTGCTTTGACAATGCAGAAATGGAAGATTCAACAAGTCTTTTACATGTAGTATCTGCAAGTTAAAAGGACTTGGTGGATTAGATGTGGGAGATGAGGGAAGGGGACTCATCGAGGTTGGTTTCTGGGTTCCTGGCTTTCTCGGGAAGGTAGTGCTAAGCCCTGAGAGAGGAAACCCTGGAAGACTGTAGTGGAAGATGATGAGTTCTGCTTGTGCAAAAGTGAGCCTCAGTGGTTTCTAGGAGAGGCCATGGGTCCAAATAAAAAGGGAATGTCTGTGTGCTCACAGAGGTGATAACTGAAGCCAGGATTAAAGACGAGGTTCCCTGGGAGAGAGCTTGAAAAAAGCAGAGACTGAGCCTGAGGCACTGAACATTTCGTGCTTAGGTAGAGGGGGATGAAACCTTTATTTGTTTTACTCTTTAGGTGACAGTCATGCTTCTTACCTTCATCATCATGAATTGCTCATTATCAATCATAGTCCACTCACATTCCTCTGAAAGCTACCAAACAAAATGTTCAAAAACAGCCTAAGAAGGTAAGCCTCCCTCTCTTCATCCATCTAGTAGGAGGCCTTTGTAGAAATATCATTACTTCAAAGTTCTAATTGGAAGCATGGAGCTGCTTAATTGCTTTCATCCATTGATACAGAAAAATCTTTAATTGAGTATTCACCATGTGTCAGGCACAGCATTAAGTAGTAGTCCAAGGGAAAAGGACCTCCAAATCAACACACCATATAATAAAATAGTAAGCAAGGTAGTGAACCAAAATTCCAAGGTCATCAGAGAGGTCATTCATTTCCAACAAGTTGACAAAGTTTGCTGTCAATAATACTAATACTGATGTGCTCTTTCTGCCATGTTGAATCTCCAGGGCTGGCCTAAGAGGCTCTTTTAGTTCTCCCTGACTCGGTACTTCCCAACATTTTCTTTTTCTCAACAATCTCTCTTCCGTCTATCTGGTTTTGCCTTGAGTGACCGTCTTTGCTTACACTCGTGGCATCCCAGGACAGAAGCCTGTGTTCCTAAGGGTGACCACTTCACCCTCTGGCTTCACTTCAACCTTTCCTACTGTGGCCACCTTCTCACTGTAGTTCAGAAGTCCCTTTGCACGGTCACTACTGGGACACACGGGACCGTTTCTCTTTCAGAATCTTTAATAGGAAGACTTGTCTCACCGAATAACTTCCAGTTCTCACACTTCATCTACTCACCAACTTTCTCAAATCTGCTTGTCACCCTCCTCATAAATTCCAGTCCCTCTCCACCTAGTTCTTGCCTCATGATTGCCCAAGTGGCTAATGAAGCACTTACCAGCATCTCAGGTTCCCCCAACCCGTTGACTTTATTCTATACCTACACTACCAAAGCCCAACTCTGAATATACTTGGTCATCTATTTTTCTCAGATATTCTCTCTTCAGGCTGCTGAGTGAGGCTGAAGAAAATCATATAAGAATATGTCATATAAATATTGACCCTATCACAGGTAACTGTGATAAAGCATCAGTCATGGCCCCATATCCTTAGTTCCTTTGACTTCAAAGGTTTAGCATGCTGCAGAATCACCCTCCCTTGGAAACCCTGATGCCCTAGATCTGGGATGGTACCCAGGAATCTCACAAACATACTTGATGATTCAGATCCCATGTCTTATTTCACTCTCTACTACAATAGCCATAGGCCTCTCTGTGCCTTTCAGCTCATAGTCACAACCCTCCTACTTGGCTGGTTGTTCTTTTCTCCCAATCTGTCGGGATAACAAATAGAGTTCATTGGCTACAATTCCTTTTGTGTCTCTCCTTCTCAGAAACTTGCCCTAGTTCTATCTATGTTGTCCTTCATTCCTTTCTTCTCTCTAAAATTAGCCCTATGCTGCTATTCTGTTCTAGCCCCTCTGGACCTTGGCCAAATCAACATTCACCTCTCTTTCTAATATTGGCTTTTTCCCAGGGGCTAAAATAAGATCAATTCTCTCTTATGCTGAAAAATATTCCTTCAGAGTTGTTCACTTCAAATTATCATTTCATCTGTCTCCTCTACTTTCTTTCTTTTCCATTTGAAGAAGACATAAACTTGTCCCCTTGAGTATAGAACTATATTAAATGGTGAAAAAAAGCACAAGTATTTAAATTAAAATGTTAAATTTCTCATAATGTCTGTCCTCAGAAATAACCACTGTTGACAGATTGACATATGACCTGCAGAATTTTTTCAGTAGTTCTATATCAATATTTGTTCTTTTTCCCTTCTAGAATTATGTTATGCTCATTTACAAGATTAATTTTTTTCCCACTTAAAATGTTCTGTTCATCTTTCTATGCCAATGTGTCATTTATCATTTTAATGACTGTATAATATTCCCTTTTACAAATTTATCATAATTTGAACTAGCTCCTTCAGGTAAACAACTGGTTATTTCCAATCTCCTCCAATGAAACAACATTGTAATGAGCATCCTTAGGTATATCTTTGACTCTATCTCTTAGCACAACTACCTAGAGTTGAATTAATGGTCAGAGAGTATGTGTGTTTGAAGTGTTTTAAAGTGCCCGTTTCTCCCACTTTATATCTTTTGTATTAACCTGGATTGAGTTGGAATGCATTCTTCTAAGTAAATCATCACAAGAGTGGAGAAGCAAGAATCCAATGTACTCAATTCCAATA